CTCGTCCATTCCCAGACGCCGCCCATCTCCGACTGACCCGCAAGCTTGTTGCCTCGGGAGGTGACTGGCATAGGATGCCAGTGACGGAAACCAACGTTGGCTTCCGTAAGGTCAAAGAATAGCTCGGAGGAGCCATCCTTGACCAAAGCGGAGGAGCTGGATGGCGGGGTCTCTTCAACGCCGTCGTTGACAAGGTGACTGCCACTCATTAGTCTTGAAAGAGTAAACGACCTCGATGGACTTACCCATTGACTGCAGGGACCGTCTTTGATAAGGTACGCTCGGCCTCGGCTCTCTTCTGCTTGTTAACATGCGCATAGATGCTTTTAGCTTCTTCGAAAGTTGGAATTCGGCCGCCCATCCAGGCTGCACACCCAGCGAGCTCGTCGTAAGAAGCAAAGACAGGCCAGTCAAGTGCATACTTGAGAGGAACTAGACCATAAACCGTTCTGACAAACTTATCCTGAATGAAAGAATCCGGGGCCTGGCTTGCGTGGTGGCCATTTCCATTAGAGTAACCATTCGAATTTCCATTGGTATGACTGCCGTTAGTGGTGCCGTTTGTGTAGGTGTTTGCAACGGACGACCACGAGGCTGGGATATGCTCGATCTTAGAGCTGTACAAATATCGGGCATACTGTGACTTTGATTAGGACTAGAGGACACTTGGCAGACGAATTACACATACCTCTTCATTGGTGATAGCTCTGCCCTGAGCTTGGAAGGCATGGACTGCTGTCTGTCGCGCAGGCTTCTCATTGTCCCTGTTCGATAAAGTTAGTCAAGGTTTACCTTTGAGCATACCGATTCAGACTTACCAGCCAAAATGACGCGAATTATCAGTACCATCCTCGGGGTCATCCATTCCCAGAGTGATGGTTTGTTCAGGGACATCGAACCATTGGTTAGGAACCCTAGCCTCATGTGCTTGCTGAGCCAGCTTTGCAAAATCAGGCTGTACGGCATGCGGAGGTGGAAGCGTTCTGTCACTCTGGAGCATCATATAGAGTAGGGTCTCAATGTGCATCAACTCATGCTCGAAGCCAACCCATATGGCTCGACCAATGTCTCGAGAAATATTGTCTTGGCCATTCTTATACAGGTTCTGAAGACGAGATCTGACCCTGTCTTGGTAGGTCATGATCTCTTGAACTGATGGCCATTCATCAGGAATTTCAGAGTGAGTATGACAGTGCTCAGGATTGTCCACATCAGGGTCAATACCTCGCTCAAAGATGGAGGAGTAGGCTGCAGGTTCAGTCGGGGCATTGCCAGTGGTTTTGGTCAACTGGATGTCGAGGAAGGTCGGGATATGACCAAGGTAGAAAATGCATGCATTTCGCAGCTTGATTGGCTTCTCCTGGAGCTCCTCATCCGGCATCATATCCTTGGTTACTACATCCCATGCTTCCCACAGTGCTTTCCAGTCTTTGACTGTTGGCAGTGGCTCTGCGGCGTAGAGGGAAGGAATCAGGCTGAACGGCATACTGGACTTTTGCAGGAAATGGAGGCCTAAACAATTGTTAGTCTCATGTCACTAGATTCCCTGTATTCTCGATATAACTTCAGCTTGGAGCATGTACCCCCACGTCATATGGGTCCATTCCCGAGTTTGGACTCATGCTGCCGGCTCAGCTGGAAAGGGAAACCCTCCTTGGAACGATTCGCGGGGTAATCCGGGGATGCATGACCCAAAGGCCTCTGATCGCGTGTTTCGGGTGGGACATGTATCATGAGAGAATGTGACCTACCATACTCATCTCCCCGACTCCATCGACCCATCTCGGTCAATCCTGCAAGTTTCCAGAGCCTGTCCTTCTCAGCCTCGGAGTATTTGAGGCTTTGCTCGATCTCTATGCGCTCATGAGGCAAAACTCTCGATCCGAGAGCATCCGTTGGCTGGGTGGGAGAAAGAAAGGCCTGGTGTCGTCCACCTTCAACGTCATAGACGTATTCACCGATGACCCTCCACTCATCCTTGCTGAAGGCCTCTTCACCAAGGATCTCATTGGCATTCTCAAGACCATTCAGAATGAATCTACATGATGTCAGTTTTCGGTCAACCAGACAGAGCCAATCAGCTTACTGATGAGTTACCCCCTTGGAGTCTGTATTAGAGAACTGCGGCATTAATATCGAATTGTGTGCTCAGCGCTGGATTGCAACGTACCGTTGTATGCATGACTATACAGCTGTTAGTATAGCTTACGACAAGCAACATAGTTGACTTACTAGACTTGTGCCGGGTTGCTACAAGAGTCTACAGCAACGATCATGGAATCAGATGGTGTGAGTACTTCTGCAAACCCTCCCAAGAAATCAGCTGCGCCGTCTCGGGTGAAGTTGCCTGTAATTCTCACGTTAGCATCTCGAAACTTGGACGACCGGTGTAGGCGCACCAATACTGGAGCCGAGGTGGATAATGCACTTTGAGCGGTTCGTGAGAGAAGGATGCTTGAGCCATTCCCTCCCATCATCGTATATACCATGAAGACCGTGACATGAAACATATTTGAAGTCGGGAACTTGAGCCAGTGTGCGCTCAAGCTCTTTGAGAGATAAGTCGAGAGCAAAATACTGAATGGGCTTTTTAAGATCCTCGAATGCCTGTAGAAGGAGACAGACCTTGCGGAGGTTTCTTTCTCATAGTTAGTTGATGATGTCTCAAATCATGGGGGAAATTGACCAACCCGCTTCCCAGCTCAATCACCATGGAACCCTCTGGGATCTGACTGGCGATCTCCGCTGAGGACTTCTTCAGGATCTCAATCTCATAGTTTGTCAAGTAATACTCATCCAGATACGTGATCTGGAGTTATATGAGTAACAGCAGCGGGGATCTCTCAACAGAATCAACATACGTCCTCGAATATCTGTAGCCCCTTCTCGTTATATAGAAGAAGGGTTGGAAGCTTTCTTGGGCCCTTGTCAGGGTTGAACATGGAAGTAATTTGTTCTTTCAGGTTGACTTCGACATGTTCACCACGAATATCAATAATACTAGGCAAAGCTGACGATGGCTTGGCTGTCGTCGGCTTTACCCTTTGAGGGGTAGCTGAAGCCGTTGTGATGGAAGGCATTGCAAAGCAAACACAAATTTAACAAACAAAGTATGGCTTCAGGTGGGAACTTGATGCTTGATAGAAGCGGATGGACGGGGAATATGTGGTTTATAAGCTGCAACAAGAATCGTCTCAAAGGGCGTGGCTCTCGTTAATAGTCCTCCCACCATCTCAATAGCTCCAAGGTACCTGAGCACTTTGGCCTCCTCAGTGGAGAATAGCTCGGAAGACTCCTCATGGCTTGATCGAACCGCCCGGTCAGGATATCCAAGCAACGCGGGGGATGGTACACTATTCTTAGTTCAGCGAATCGTCATAACATCGAACGGTCTAACGATGAGACTCTGCGCCAGGAACCACGGTCCACTTGGATCGCAAGGGGAAGCCGGCTGTGCCTCAAAGAGAGCAAATGGCCCTCCTCATACAAGCTTCGGCGCGGCGGATGTATGCTACGTATGTACTAACGACCTGCTGCCTTCTCCATGTGAACGATTCTGAAATAAGTTTGTCATGACATGCATTCTCAAACTGGAAGACATCAGCACTTGTGGAGCGAGAGTGGGAGAGAGATGAGGAACTGGCAAATCAATCACGAGAGTCAAGCCCCACGCCCCACGCGCGTGGGAGCGTGATGTCGATGTGGAAGCTCACCAGGGCAAGTTCTGAGCTTGAGCTTTGATGGGTCGAGAGGCGATCGTTCGGTAGGAGAAAACGTCGGTACCAGATGCTCTAGTCGTTATTGGGGCTTTAAGTATCTATCAATGTTGCTTGCCGTCCTGCATGGTGTTTCGGAACTTCAGCCTTATGTTGCGTGATCTGAGAGCTTACCCCAGATGTTTTGAAGCAACGGAGATCCGTACCTTAGGCTGTTCCTGTTGCCCAAATCGATTCCCTGCAGAGCCTCGGTACATACAGGTTCGCTTTGAGCCGCAGGAAGAAAAGTACTGTACATATGTAACCACTGCCTTGTAAACCGGTTTGCACGGGTCATCGACTTGTCTGTTGTCGATTGTACATGGGACGGGATTCGCTCCATCTCGATAAAATGGGACTTATTCAAGTTGGTTTGTGAGGAACCCCGCGAAGCTGCCGCAGATGCCAGCTCTAGGCTCCTCTTGGTAGCTGGGCTGTCCACTAAGACATCTGGATTTGGAAGCAGTACACAAGGGGTGAGCACTAGGCGCAGTGACTTGCATTTGCCGGTCTTGGTGATCCATTTGGTGACTTGACCCGGACGTCATGCTATAAGTAAGCGGGCTCATCAAAGCTTTGCTGTCGTGTAACCTTGAAGCGTCGGAAATGATGAGTGATCAGTATTGCCGAATTGAAAATCGCACGGCCGCCTTATTTCTCAGCGGTAACGTCAGCTGTGTACCGAGCCTATGCGATTCGGACCGGTATGTCAATATTCATTTGTGGAAAGATTCCATATCATATCCCAGCATGCATGGATGTCTGTTTGTTAATGGTGTTGAGAGTGGAGAGAAGAAAAAAGGGTTCCATTGATTAATAAGAATCGGCTGACTGAGGTGTTTCTTTAGATTGTTCTTGGAAGGTCCCGTCTACCTTCCCTAGGTACGGAAGGTAGTAGCCAAGGAAGGCACACGTCGGCGAATTTACGTTGCGCTTGCCTGATGTCAAGATGCTTCCTGTCTCTGCCTCCATCTCAACAGCCCAGGGCCTCGAACTCAAGCTTCACTGCAAACACCTCACTTGCTTCACTTACATACATGGATGCTACAAATACACTCGTTGCATAGAGGTGGCTACTACAAACATGTTAACATAACATACCAGATGCCAAAAGATCAATGCTACTACCGCCAGTCTAGCTGAAATGAAAACACCCCATAACTAACCATATTCCGGCCGTCAATTCATTATCCATCTATTCACCATATCGAAATACTTGCCAAACAGAACTCCAAGGCCAAGCATCTATCGATTCGGCAAGGTAACTCTCAGAGAACCGGCGCCTGAGAAGCCCTCCAAATCATCCAATATCCAACTCATCCGTCCCGACTCCAAGATCTCGACATTATCCAATAAGAGCTTTGGTGTGTCCATCGCTAATAGTTCTTCGTCAACCCCAGGCAGCGAGAGTTGGCTCTTTGACGTTGAAGAGTTGGGCTTGGAGGGTTCCTCTAGTATGGGTCGTGGCGAGTTTCTCATCTTCGGAGACACTGACATAGGGCTTATACTTTTGCGATGCGCATCGTATACTCCTCGGTGCTGTCTATCTTGCGATCCTGTCTGGTAAGGTTCACTCCCGTGGCCAACTCCGCCAAGCCTAAGACTTAGTGATCCCTGCCTCGAGTTCTTGGCTTGTGTAAAACACCGGTCTACCGCCTCAAGGTTATCCAAGTATCTTTGAGAGCTGGGCAAGTAAACTGCAGCTCTCCGCAATGCCTGACATGCTATTCCAGCCTGCCCTTGTTCGAGTATACTTAAATTCTCTTCAGTTTGAGGACTCTTAGCCTGTTCGCTCCCCAATCGATGGCTCCTGTCCATCTGCGGAAAATGGTGAGCGTATATAGACATGAACCCAACGAGCCAGATGGAGAATATTGACAACGAGGACAAAGGTAGCTTTTCTTTGCTGAGACCAACCAAATCGATGATGTTACGAGATGATTCGAAGATATCTTCTGCACTCTCTTCCCAGAATCGATCTGGCGCAAAGTTGAGTACAGTTTGGTTGGCTATGGGCCCCTGAGGCCTGCGGCATTGCAGGGGCAGAAACGGAAGATATTCTCGATTGAGAACGATATGACAAACCGAGGCCAGCATATGTAGCGATACGTAGGTGTTGGTAGCCTGGTGATTATCATGTCGGTAGTAATTTTGTCGAGATAATCTGAAAGTTTCAGGGAGATCTTTGTCGAACGCAACTATCTTATCTCGCAACTTGTAGAAGGTCGATCTGGTGTCCCAAGGAGGATGGGCTTCTTGTGACCGACCCCCCATCGAACTATACCTCGAAATCTCGCCCCATATCTCAATCAACTTGACAAATCGGCTTAACGTGCTATCATCGTTGATCTGAGGCCGACTAGATCCTTCATGTGGTTGTAATAGCCCAGTGTAGACTTGAAGAGACAGATCAAAGGCCATTTCAGAACATGGTGACTGGATCAACATGCTATCGACTGCAATGCTTAGCGGTCGATCGCTCCCGCAGCTCATCAGACGATCTAGAATGAAGCAGCTGTACATAGTCCGTCTACGTGTCTCTCTTATTATCGCAATCTCTGGTGATTTCTTCTCGAATCGGGTTGTGTCGGAAGCCTGGTTCTCCAGTATAGCCATCCGCCGGTCATCTTGCTCTAGCCCTATCAACTTGGCCATGCGAATAGCTATCCCAAGATACATCCATGCACTAGAGTTGTTCTCTTGGCTCCACTCGAATAATCCAAGCATCAGGAAAGACTGTATCCTTTCAACCGTGAAAGTATCCATGATTGCCCTGAGGGGGCCCAGAGCTGTTGTGAGTGCGGTAGCAAAGAAATCCGAGGCGTACAATGGTCCAGACTTGGCTTTTGAGGCGGGAGATCGGGTATTTGAGCTATGTTGACTTGGTAAATGCGTTACATATCGTACCAGATCGGGATGAAAACGAGCTGTAAGCATCAAGATACCAAGCAGGACCAAGTTCAGTTCTGACGAATACTCTTTCCCCTGCCCTGATCCGCTGCTCATTTTCTCCTTCAAAGATGGCAAGTGAAGAAAAGGCAGTTCTGTGGCATAGTGTAGTTTGTAAATGTTGAGCAACTGATCCCATAGATCCGTCGTTAAAAAGGGGTATGCGAGCACTTCGGCTGCGTACACGGCTGACTTTTCGCTGCTCCATCTGGGTTTATCATCCACTTTCCTCGCTCGTTTCTTCTCCTGCTGTGGTTCTTTTTCGGCTTCACTGTTGCGGGGGAATCGTTTCGTTTTGGTGGAGGAGGAACTGCTTCTGGATATTGACACTGATGTCCTCCTTTAACACACGTGTCGCACGGGGTGTTGCCTCCATCATTGTCACACTTGATCTTCGATCTTCGACATCTCAGACAAGCAATGCTAGATCGAATCGGTTGTTTTGTTCGTGATCCCCTGCTTCCAGCTTTCTCAACCGAGATGGAGGGCGTGAGTCTACCCAGAGAGTTATCATCACCGGCGTCAGGTCTAGACTGCTCGTCATATTGAGCATGCCAGATTGACGCTGGTGACGTGCCCTCATGGGCCGAAGATAATTCTTCGAGCTTTCTTTTCGGAGTTGTTGAAGCCTTTGGAGATACGTTGGGTTCGTTGTCACCCTCTGGGTCTGTAGGCGAGAGTATAGACTGAATACGGAGCTGAGAAGCTATTTTGCCGATTTCGTTGCTCTTACAGAGCTGTCTTTGTGGTGCAGAGTTAGATCGGAGGTTTGAGTAACTCTTTTTAGAAGTGAATAAAGGCTATTATTTGAGCCAAAGGTTCTGAGAAAGGGGAACAATATGTCAAGAAAGCGTCAACTTCGTTGGAGATTTCATGTATGTAAAGTAGAGAAGAAAGAACCAGCAAGTCGATGCTTTGTATGGGCTACAATAGTACTTATGTAGAACTAACCCTAGGGAACTACTGATCTAACAAGGGTCGCAAGCTACATATAGAAAAGGAAGACGAGATGAGATGCCCGAGCCGACTTTCATATGGTCAAGCCGACTTATGAGATCCCATCATCGGTCCACGCACCCGAATGACTAGTCCTGGCATGGCAATGTCTATACGGAAGTGCATAAATCTGGGCAAAGTGACAGCCGAGGAGCTACTAGACAAGGTATCGTGGATCCATTCCTGCTCTCACTCTTGCTGGAGGTGTAGTCTGAGGGCGCCGAAACAGGAGTTCTTACGGAAATATGTGCATCGAAAGGCGCCGGCTACGCTAGGAAAGCAGGGAAAACTAGATTAGTGTGTCAATTCCGAGTGTTTGTGGCCGTAAATCCGAGTTTGACAGTTGTGTAGCAGAGCCTCAAGGATCGCGAAACTTTAACCGTCCAAGACGAGCTTATAAGTGACCAAAGACACGTTGACAGTTCAAATTACTTTGACGCGTAAGTTTGTTAGAGATCGAGTTCCTTATTGTATTCCTCATAGCTGACTTGCATGTTCTTGCGCAACTCCTTGGACATATATCGTTGGAAATGCTCGGGAACAAGATTTATCCAGTGGATAACGGCTTCTTGACCTAGTCGTAGGAGGTTTACATACAGCAGGTACGCCGATGTGGGAACTGTATGGGGTTGAAGATATGGAGAATATATCGCTACGTAATGATGGGGTAAAAGAATATGATAAAAGAGACGAAAGTGCGCTGTGGGTTTGTTTTTCAAGACGCCGCCGGCCGTCGTCTTGGCCTGAGTGGGGGTCTCTTCACGATGTTGAATTGAAGTGGATGAGCCTCAATTCTCCGTTGATGGTTCTCGGATGCCGGTATAGCACTTTACAGGTCGATGCATATTTGAGATCAGCAATCGACCCGTGTAGCTATATAGATATCTACCAGGTCATCCGTGTAGTCAATAAGCTGGAAATATAAGGATAAAGAATAAATATAGAAGGGCAAATGGAAGTACATTCACTACCTTATGAATAAAGTAATGGATCGGATTAGCCCCCGTAGCTTCGGCCGAGCCATAGCGTGATGACCGTAACTGGCAATTGAAATGAGAGCAGCAATTTATGACCAATTTATATTCAACTTCAAGAGGCTCCAGACTTTTAAATCTGACCTTGGGTACCCATAAGGAACCCCATTGCCAAAAGACATTGATGTATGAAAAAGTCGGGAATAAGTCTATGGGGATTATGGGCACGGAGACGGGACGCACGTTGTAGAAGGTCAAAAGAGAACAGCTTTGATCCCAGGTGATAAAAATGCGCACACACGCGTCAAAGGTCGTTATAGAGAAAGCACCCTAAGGTATCAGACTCTTTGATAGGTAAGTAAAGTAACCTTCTTCATCGCCTCTAATAAGCCAGATTACCTAACACATATTGTACATACTAACACAAGAGATGGGATGTTGCCTCTCAAAGTCAAACACTCGGTTCATCATAATCCCGAAATGCGCCTCAATATTTGCGTGGACTTCATTTTTTTTTATGTTGAGCGGCAAAAAGCTGAGCTGCTTCCCAAAGCTCCTGAATGAATGTCACTGCCAATTGCCGACTGCCATCAAAGATCCATGCCCCGTTACAACGCCAAGATGGACTAACCTCCAAGAGCGGGAGTCTGGACCCTCTGAAGCAAAAGCCAGGGAGGGACTTTAAGCTTAAGTGCTTCGCCCATGTGCACACGCAATCAACCTCTAAATTGTCTGTTGATCCCGTCATGAGACGACACTTTTTTCTCCCTCAACAAAAGAAAATGGCCTTTTTCATGTGTCTACTCTACTCCCCAGACTCAAAATTAACTCAAGAATGGCCAAACCTAGAACAATGTCACTCCCCTTGAGTGGCGACGCCGCGATGCCAGGATCATTTGCTCCCCCAACCAATGAATGACGTCGATCGCCTCAAGAGGCCTCACAGCTCATCAATAGAGCTTCTCACCGCACGAATTTAAGCGCCGACAGACGCCCACCCTCTTTGATGAGGATGCGCTAGATCACACAGCTCTTCAAATCAAGCTCCTGCAACAGCCGCCCAACTTATAGCTCTGTCGCATTGCATTGACGCGCATCGCGCTTGTCTTGAATTGTGTGTGTTTCCTGCTGGTGGACCGAATGATGCTGTTGCTGTCATAAACCTGAACCAACCTGAACCCGACCCCTCCATCACATCACGTCTTGCGACTTTCCGAGTTCCAGGATTTCAACAACTCTCCCCCTTTTCTCGTCTTCTACTCGTTATCCTAAACCTATTCTTCTTTTTGTATTGCATAATACCAAGATTGTATTCTTTTCTTTTTCCATTCATTCATCCATCCATACATACCAGGACCAGAGAATCGCAATCATGTCTTCTGGACATAATGTAAGTCCGAAAATACATTTCAGGCGCATCTTGGCATGCCCATGACGTTCTCCCTTTGCCGCCACTCATGGATACTAACAAAATTTCGAATAGGATCCGAAGCTCCTCTACGCTGTAGAAGGCATCAACGCCTACCACATTTCCAATGGCAAAGAGCAGTCCCTCACTCCCTCAGGACCTCAGACTCTGTCCCTCCTCATGGTCCCGACCTCATCTGGCTTTGTTGAACCTTCAGGCAGTGGCTCTGATGGCGAAGAGGACTTCTACCTGCACCTCCACCTGCCTCCTGAGCTCGACCTCCCTCTTCCCGCTACGACCCAGATCTACCACCAACCACCTACGAGCTATTTGATTCCTCGCTGGGATCTCGGCCCCGATAGCGGCGCTTTCACCAGGATCGAATTCCCTCCCACAAACTCCAGGCCCGGTGTTCAGGAAGATGTCGATACTTTCGAGACCATCCTTGCCCAGTGCACTGCTTTCCTTGAACGAGCAGCTCCTCCTCAGCCCCCAAGGCCCTCCGAGAAGGCCCAAGCTAAGGCGCGCGAAGCAGCTGGCGAGCAACTCCCCGCTTACAACCCAGCCGACTATAACCCTGGAGAAGGATATGTCCAGGGCAGCCATAGTTCACATACCGGAGGCAGGATTGTTCTTATCGATGAAGAAGACGGCAGTGTCCTTGGAGAGTTGACCGATAGCTATCAAGTGGTGGAAGACAGCAAAATCAAACCCGGTTCCAAAGGTATGTATTGCAAAATTGATGGTCATGCTTTAGGATGTTAACATTAGTGCAGAGCCTGTCGAGATTGCTCTTCCTACCGATGGTGGCCAGAACATTTCTGTGCAGCCTGTGTCGCAGCCATGGGCCGAGATGGACATGCACCCTGCGTATAAAAAGTCAACCATTGTGAATAGTGCAAGCAAGGCATCTCGCCTTATCGTCACAACTTCCGATGTTGTCTCTAGAACCCTCCAGAGCCAAGCCGACAACTTCACCAAGAATACAAAGCCTCTCGCCAAGCCTGTGACATTTGCACCTACAACGCATGCGCACATTCGCCGGATCAACAACTTCTCCAACAAAGCAGCCACATTTTCGGCAACCACCGTGGGTACTATCGGTAACATGGCACAGAACCTGGGTGCAACTGTCACGCGTCGCAAAGATGGTAGAGCCAGGGGTTATGACAAGGATGGCAATGCAATCGATACCTACAAGCCAGGTGTTCTGAACAAGAGCTTGATGGCCTTTAATACTGTCGTTGACGGTATTGAGCAAGCCGGCCGCAATCTACTCACCGGCACATCATCCAGCGTGACAACTGTTGTCGGCCACCGTTGGGGTGAGGAGGCTGGCGAGTTGTCGCGCAATCTTGGCGGCGGTGTTAAGAATGTGGGACTTGTCTACATTGATGTGACAGGTGTATCTCGACGTGCCATCCTCAAGAGTGTTGCTAAGGGCATGGTGGTTGGCAAGGTCAAGGGTGGTGGTGAGATCATCGTGGGAGGCACGGATAACAACCCCAACTTCGAGACAAGAGAAGGCAATGGCCAGGGCTCACATAGCACATATGGCGATAATGTGAGTATCGCCAGTGGATATGATGCCAATGGCAAGAAGCCTGCCAAGGGACATTACTGAGGGGTGACGATATCGGAATAGCGAAGACATTTGGCTTGATTTGGCGTGGTCTATTTGAACCTATTGCTAGGCGGTAATGGGAATCAATCATTTATTAGTTCTTAAATCCGTAAGACTTGAGCAGAAACCTTTTCAATTGAACTGTGACGAAGAGTGTTAGACATGAGGTGTGAATTCTGGTGTAAGTGATGTATCAGCACAGTACGAACTAGGTATCAAGTTCACGGTACATAGATCGCGGGGCAGGTACGATTCTTCGCGTCGCGCTCTCAGGAGCTTCACCTCGAACTCGATAAAATATTGATTTCTTCCTGTTAATGTCGCGCTATGTTAAAGCCTAAAGAGCTCAACAGTCACAATAAACGAGAAGCCTTTCCCTCTGAGCTTGAATTTGGCTGAACGCCTGTGATTGGGAGTCAAGGCTCAAACTTGGAGCTTTGGATAAATCTCAAGGTCAACATCATCAACAATACATACCAGACGCACAACTGCTTGGTCCATGTGCCGCTTTGAGCTTCTTGGTGTTATCATCATTATCTTGCGTGATATCGGGGATTCTATCAGGTCAAGAAAGGCTAAAGATCGGTACCTTTCCTACCATTGTCGTCCTATCAAACATCACCGCTAATTATACCAAGCTCCGAACCAGAACCAGAACCAGAACCAGAACCACAGCCATGCTCCATGAAATCCTACTCTCCCTCTCGGGACATCCCTCCCCCCTCCTACGAACCGATGCAACTCAACCTCATGCCCTCTCCGGCGTATCACCAGCCGAGCGCCAACTCCTCGCCTCGGCTGCCCATCTCAGCGACGTCCACATCAAACTGATCAGCTACACGGCCCAGGTAGCTAACTCGCACCCCTCGACCATCTGCCGAGCTGTCGCAACAGCCATAGACTCCATCCATCTAGCAGCCTTCCAGCGCAAAGTTCTCAATGTCGAGGCGAGCATATTACAAGATGACCCGGATCTGGTGGGAGCGTATAATATTGTCCCCTTGACGGCGGTGATAGGCGAGTTTAAGGACTGGACTAGGAGGATGGAGTGGCTTTGGGAAATGGTGCAGTTTATGCTGGTAAAGAATAAGAAGGG